AAGGTTTGGATTTTTAGTTTCTCAAAGTACCAATGTGAATTTTATGTATGTATGGTGGTGAAGCATTTTCCAAAACAAATAAACTCATGCATGTATATACATTTATGGCAACAATATGGGAGAGATGGAATGCAAGGTCAAGTTGGTTTAACAAGAGTTGGAGCTGGATCATGTCATTATCATTATCGTGTTCTTGTTTCATGAACATAAATTAGTGTAAATAAGGGCGTTAAGTGCATGATCTCTCTCAAGAACAAGAAATAAACATCAATTTTGATATATTACAATTTCGGTGCAAGATTTAAACAAATAGAGTTCATACCTAAGTGGAAAAGGTATAAGTATTTTAATTAAAGGGTGTTGGTTTGAATCCCACATGGTTCAAAAATTTATTTTGTTAAACTTGTCATTGCCAGTGGTACCAATAAAAATAATTGTATAAGCCACATATTATTAACCATAGAAAAATATAAATCATTTCCACTTTTGTTAAATTTTAGTGCATTGAATAACATTGAATACCATACTAATGGGGTGCATATGAACCCTGAGTATAAGTTGGCTCTAATAAAAAGTTAGTTTGAAAAATATATTTAATCTTTATTATTTTTGATGACACGTGACATATTTTAATATATAAACTGATTATTTATCTTTTAGAGTTTTAAAATAGGATCATCTCTAACAAACTAATAATAAATTATCGAGTCTGAAAATAGAACCAACTCTAACAAATTAATAACAAACCTAACAAATACCCTAACAAATTAATAGCAAACCTAACAAACCAAACTAATAACAAACTATTAAATTTATCTCTAATACTCTCTCTCCCTCAAGTTGGGGGTTGAGGATTATGAACACCCAACATGAACATGGGATCTTGAAAAACTTTCACGCCTAAGAACTTAGTAAAAATGTCAACATTTGGTTATTCGGTGGGCAGGTAAAGTGTACTTATGGTACATAACTGTATGTGTTCCTTTATAAATTGACAGTCAATTTTAATATGCTTTGTTCTTTTATGGAAGATTGTGTTTGCAGCTAAATGAAGAGTTGCTTGATTGCCACAGTGCAAAAGTGTGAGTTTGATGCATGGAACTTGTAGAGTCTCTAAAAAATTACGTAGCCATAGTATTTTACTTGTGGCATGTGTCATTGCATGATATTCAGCCTCACTTGAGGATCGAGATATTGTGACTTGCTTCTTTATTTTTCATGATATTGGAGCATTACCAAGTTTCATTAGATAACCTGAGATGGACTTTTTGTTAATGGGACACAATGCTCAATCTGAGTCACAATAGCACACTAATTATAGATCATTGTGTTGTGGAAGAATAATACCTTAACCATGAGAAGATGTGAGATATTGTAACACTCGCATAGAAGCATCCCAATGGTCTTGGAGTGGAGTTTGCATGAATTAACTTAGAATATGAACTAAGTAGGTTATTTTAGGCCTAGTAATAGTTAAGTAGATCAGGCATCTAATTAATCTCCTATACCTTGACGGTTCTAAGAGTGGAGGTCCTTTGGCCAAAACAAGTTTGTGATTTTTTTCATTGGAAACAAAGAAGGCTTACAACCAAGTAGATTGTTTGAGGTGTATTTTATTTGACAAAGAAATATCCCTTTTGACCCTTGTGCTAGTTTTTGACCTAGGAAGTATTTAAGCGAACCAAGATCGTTTATGTGGAAACATGGACTGAGATATTGCTTGAACTGATCACAGGCCTCGAGGTCATTACTAGCAATGATCAAGTCATCAACATAGATCAAAACAACAAGAAAAATGGATTCATGTGAATAAGTAAATAGACTATTATCAGACTGGTTGTCTTAGAAACCATATTTTATCAAAGATTGAGATAGCTTGGTATACTAATTTCTAGATGTTTGTTTCAAGTCATACAATGACTTCTTTAATCTGCATTAAATCTTTGTTTGGAACTTTATAACTTTATGGAGGACTCATATATACTTCTTCTGTCAATTCTCCATGCAAGAAGGCATGGCTAACATCTATTTGATGTAATTTTCATCTTTTCACCACTGCAACTATTTACAAGCATCTGATTGTGGTCATTTTGGTCGCTGGTGAAACAAATTTATTAAAGTCTTCACCTTTTATTTGTGTGTAACATTTAGCAACTAATCTGGCCTTGTACTTTTCAATCTTACTTGTAGCTTTATGTTTGATTTTGTACACTCATTTACATCCTATCAATTTTCTTCCTTGCGGTAAATGGTTTAGTTCTCATGTCTTACTATCTTCTAGAGCATTGATTTCTTGAGTCATGTCCTCCATCCAAACTATGTGCTTGAGTGCTTGGGTATATGATTGAGGTTTTTCATCATTAGTGATGGCTGCAAGTTAAGCTCTATATTTTTGTGAAAACTTATCATAATTTAAAAATTTTGAGACGGGATATGCGATACCTGAAGAGGATTATGGAATTGATGTCATGTACTTGGGTTTTGTTTAATTCGCCACAATCAGTCTTTTAGATCATTTTGGAGGTCGTCTTATGTGTGGCATGTTTCGAGGCTCCCCCTCATTTGAGACTTCTCCTTCACTTTTACTTGATGATTCTTTTTTAGAATCATTGGTAACTTCCTCATTCATGTTATCTATGGATACATGTTCTTGCTCTATAGGCTCACCCTCAGTTTAATTTGTGTATGCAGGCTCCTTAATGGGTAAAGTTTATATAGGACCTGACATTTAGTCGTTATGAGGAATTCCCCCAAGGATTGGTATTTCCAATTATGCATCATTGTAGAGTGAAGGCTCATCATTGAGGGTATCACTTGATGAGTTATTTCTAAAATTAGTAGACTCATTATTGTCTTGCACATGATAAGGAAAGATATGCTCATAAAATATTTCATCTCTTGATATGCAACATTCACGGGTCTTTGGATTGTAAACTTTCCATCCTTTTTGTCCTTGTGGATAACTAATAAAAATACACCTTTCAGCTTTGGGATCGAATTTACTAATTCCCTTTGAGTCATTTTTCATGTAGCACAAGCAGCCAAAAATTCTCAAGTGCTCATAGTTTGGTGTTCTCTTAAAAAGTAACTCGTATGGAGTGATTCCCTTATTTGTTACTATAGGGGTTGTATTTATTAGATATGCGGTTGTCAATACACAATCTCCCCCAAAAATACAATATGAGATATGCATGAAAACACAAAGCTGGTACTATATTCAAAATTTGTTTATGCTTGCGTTCCACACGTCTATTCTGTTAAGTTGTGGCAACACAAGAAGTTTCATGCATGATCCCTTCATTTTGAGTGAAGCACTTGAAATCAAAGTTAGTAAACTTTGTCTCATTGTCACTCCTAATCCTCTCGATATGCATATTAAACTGTTTTTTGATTAGATTGCTAAAACTAATCAAATGTTGTAAAGTTTTTGTTTTGTTCTTCATAAAATATACATATGTGCCACGAGTGTAGTCATCTACAATGAAGAGCTGCTTGATTCTCACAATTCAAAAGGTGTTTCAACTTTATTAATACTTAAAGGGAAAAATTGTATACATTGTTTTTCCTTGTGGCATACATCACAATAGTTTGCTCTATCAAAATTGCATTTGACTAAATGTGAAATATGCTGAAGGAATTGATTTGAGGAATAATCTATCTTGATGTGCCATAATGTTGCCATGTCCTTCTTAGCTGCACCCATGAAGCCATGTTGCTTTGAAAACACATAAACTTCTTCATGCATGTCACTTGATCTAATCTTCCTCTTCAAAGCTTGATCATGTATTATTCAAGAATTTTAATCATAAATCATATAACAATTTGAATCATATGTTAATTTATGAATTGAAAACAGATTGTATTTAAAGTCAGAAACCAATAACACATCTTTTAACGTAAGGGAACTTGATAAATTCACGTCTCCCATATTTTCAACTAAGGTTCAAAATGCGGTTGGTGTAGTTATGTAGAAAAGTCTATCTAATTTTTTGATTTTTTTCAATATTGAGGTCAAAGGAGTCATTTGGTGTGAAGCACCGCTATCAAGTATCGAATTGAAACAATATTCAAATTTATCAGTCATGTTTACAGATTTGAATGTATTTTTCTTCTCTAATATCTCTTCCGAATAGGAATCGTGCTCGGATACCATAATAGAAAGTTAACTTGAAAAATATGTTGTACTCTTATTGTTTTTTTTATGACACATAACATACCTTTATATATAGGTTGATGATCTACCTTTCAGAGATTAAAAATAGGATAAATACTAAGAAACCCCAATAAACTAATAACAAATCTAATAAACAAATAACAAACTATCAGAGCTTAAAAATATGATCAACCCTAACAAACTTAACAAACCCTAACAAACTAATTACACACTATTAAATTTATCTCTAATAAGCTTTGCCCTTGATCATGAGCAAACATATCAAATCACACAAACTCATCAAATCAAAACATGATATTGGCATTTCAAAACAAGATTTATGGAAAAACACATTAAATTCTACTTTAAACCAAACCATTGATGAAAAGAGAGATACATAATTTAAAGTTTCTTAACCATCATCTCTAAAATAAAATCGTATGAAAAATCGGACAATTCAAAGTTCAAGGAAAACTCTACTATCTTAAATTTAGAATACCAAACTTATTCATTTATAAATAAAAAAAATTTTAACATGATTTTAATAAATTTGATATCTTCAACGTGCAAGCGTAAATAGTTTAATTGTTTACCTATTGAATCTAATGCAAATAGTTAACGTGCCATATGAGTGAGGGATATAAATTTGGAAATATCGAGTTTGATTGCCCTTCATAGCAGAAAAACTATTAAGCAATCGAAAAAATCATTAAAAAAGATGATAGAAAAGAAAAAAAAAAATCAGAAAAATGAAAAGTAGAAAACTTCCGAGTAGTTAGCATAATTGAGAAGATCGAAAATAACGAATCGAAAAAGTAAAGTTGGCGCGGATTGCAGCAGATAGATCATGAAAACGAAATCAACCGAACTGAATCAATTTCGAGAAGAAATGGAATCGGAGGAAGAGAATGACGATAACAATAGCAACAACAGAATCATCATCAATAACAATAATAATAACGGAAACAAGTTAGCAATGTGGGAGACTATTTTCAGAAACCATAGCAACTCTTTGAAATCTCTCTTCCACCGCAAACCTGACATCGCCGCCGCTGATGATGCCGTCAATTCTCCCAAACCTATTCCTCAACTCTCTCACATCGCCAACTCCGTCGTCTCTCGCTGTTCCAAGTCATTATTCCTCTTTCTCCATTCCCGCTTACGTTCCGTCGTTTCCGTCGTTTCGACAATTTTTTATTCGTTTTTGTATTTTGTAGGATTCTTGGAGTTTCTACGGATGAATTACAACATGCGTTCGATTCGGAGCTTCCTCTCGGAGTGAAAGAGCTTCTAACATACGCTAGAAACCTTGTGGAATTTTGTTCGTTCAAAGCGCTTCAGAAATTGAGTAGAAACTCCGATTATTTGAGCGATGCGGCTTTCCGCCGTTTGGCGTTTGACGTGATGCTTGCTTGGGAAGCTCCCAGCGTTCACACTGAGCAACTCACAGCGGTTCAAATCATTACATTAAATTAATTATATTTAGCTAATTAGTTAATTAATCAGTTAAATAATTTCTAATTAATGTTGATTTGTTGTGATCTCAATCATAATTTCAGGAAACTCCTACTAGTAAAGATGAAACCGCCGGTGATGAGGATGATGCTTCCTTTTTTTATTCAAGTTCCACTAATATGGCACTTCAGGTTCCAGAAACTCTAATCATAATCACATTATATATTATATAAAATGAAATTTTAAAATGAATATTGTTATACATACTATACTAAAACTGTTTGGATTTTGTTTGAGTTTATCTCCGGATATAATCACTTATGAGCTCTGTAGAATACCTCTAAAAAAAAGTGTGTTTGTATCAGTGTTGTATCTAAAACCGACACCGACACTTGTAATTACATTTAATTTATTCATTTTTTCAAATTATTACCGATGTCGACGAGTCAGTGTCGTGTCGTGTTTTCGGTGTCCATGTTTCATAGCTTATGAGACTATTTGGTAGATGTTATGAAAACAACTTATGAATTGGTTTAAGCTTATTTCCATAAGTTCTCTAGGATAGTTTATGAAAACAATTTAGTTCCATAAGTTGTTTTCAGCAATATCGATTAAATTGTTTATCTAAACAATGACCTAATAGCGCCTTCTTCAATCAAATATTAATTAATGGTGTATGCAATTGCAATGCATTTTTTTAGGTTGATGATAAGAAGACAGTTGGCCGTGAGGCTTTTTTACGTATAGCTCCTGTTTGTGTTCTTGTTGCTGATATAATAACTGTCCACAACCTTTTTGATGCGCTCACCAATACTTCGGGTCGTAGACTCCATTTTCTTGTTTATGATAAATACATAAGATCCCTTGATAAGTAAGGTTCTTTTCCTTCAATTGTGTTGCTTGCATTGTGTGTGTGCTTCTTGTTTCCTTATGGCGAGTTACGTGTGCAGGATTGTCAAAAATTCTAAAAATGCTCTGTCCAGTAGTTCTCTTGGAAATCTTCAACTTGCTGAAGACGAGATAGTCCTTGATGTTGATGGGACAATTCCAACACAGCCAGTTCTTCAACATATTGGAATTGCTGCCTGGCCTGGTGAGTATTTTCATTGCTCAAATTAAAGTATACATTTGTTGATATGAGTTTGTCGTCTTTGATGACTATTAAGTACTTAAGTAGTGAGATACTGCTCATTGGTGGCTAGCAGCTTCATTTTTCTGTTTTTGTAAGTCAAATGATTATCATTTGTCTTTATCTTCTAATGATTATCATTTGTCTTTATCTTCTTGTGAGTGTCTTTGTTCTTGATAGAATAATTTTGCTTTTCACTAATTGGTCACAAAGGGACACTCAATTATTTTAAATAAACTATTTCTAGACCAATGTCCATTGGTCGGCTTTGTTTTTAACTAATTGCATGAAAATATACATGGAGTAATCTCATGGATTTGATGCTCAATTGAAAATATCGGATTTTATTCAATAAAGTGTTTTTATTGTCCTATACAATATCCTATAGCTGGTTGTATTAAACCAGCAAATCAGAGTATGTTTGGAACTATTGTAAAACGTGCAGTTTAATGTGTTAGCCTTTTCTTTCTGCAGTATATACAAAGAGTATAGCAACTAAGTGACTAGGAACCCTTGTTCATTAGCATACCTAAAAGATATTTTAAGTTGGCGGTACCTCAATTTTCTGACCTTTTCTAGGGCGCTTGACCCTGACCAATTATGCTCTCTACTTTGAGTCACTTGGAGTCGGTGTGTATGAGAAAGCTGTTCGATATGATCTGGCCGCAGACATGAAACAGGTTATAAAGCCTGACTTGACCGGACCCCTTGGTGCTCGCCTATTTGATAAAGCTGTGATGTACAAGTCAACTTCTGTGTATGTCACCTGTTGCAAATATTCCATGCGACTTATCTATATATTTCCCTCATTTCCACTTCAAATTTTATGATTTTCCGAAATGTATTGACAGAGCAGAGCCTGTTTACTTTGAATTCCCTGAATTTAAAGCAAACTTGCGTCGTGATTACTGGTTGGACATAAGTCTGGAGATCCTACGTGCACATATGTTTGTCAGGAAATTCGGCCATAAAGATACACAGAAATCAGAAATACTTGCCAGGGCTAGTCTGGGCATCTTCCGCTTTCGCGCACTAAAAGAATCTTTCAAATTTTTCTCATCCAACTACAAAACGTTACTTACTTTTAACCTAGCTAAAGCTCTTCCTCGGGGAGATATGATCTTGAAAACCCTTTCAAATAGCCTAATGAATTTAACTGCTATTTCTGGTAAACAACATATTCCATCGAATGTCGAAACAAAAAAGCAACTGACAGTGTCTCCAGCAGCAGTTGTGGCACTCTTCTGTCTTGGGTTCAAATCAAAAATAACAGTTGATAACTATGAGGAAACAAATGTTGTTTGTGATATCCGAGTTGGTGAGATAAATCCGTTGGAAATGGCAGTTAAACAATCCCTTAAGGACACTGGAAAAGCAGAAGCTGCACAGGCAACCGTAGATCAAGTGAAGGTGGAGGGCATCGATACAAATGTTGCAGTTATGAAGGTTTGTCATTATTTACTTTCAATAATGTTCATTATCTGAAAAAAATGTTGAATTTCATTTGATCATGGAAATTATACTAAAAAGCAAAAGAGGGAAAAAAGAATAACAAAGTCAGAACAAAATTTTGTTGTAATATGCCTTAAAACAGACTAGAACTGCAAAGCTCCTTCCGCACCATCGAATACTAATGGGCTAGGTTCTAAATGAGTACAAAATGTAAATATTTTTCCTCCACGCACACTCTCTACTTTGTTCATCTAGCCTTGATATCAATATATTTCTTCTATTTGAAATATATTTCGATTGAAAGCTATGTTTGGATATCATAAAATGAACGGAGCGGAATGGAGCGGAGCAGAACGAAGATTTCATTCCATTTTTAGGATAAAACAAGGCAAGTTGTTCATTCCACCCAAATTGAAAGGGAAGAAATATGGTGGTAACTTGTAAGTGATGGAATAGAATAGAATCCATACCACTTTATCTCGCTCTGCTCCATCCGATTTTAAATGATCCAAACAATGGAATACAATTTCATTCCATCATATTCTGCTCCACTCCATCTGATTCCATCAATCCAAACAAAGCCTAAAATTATAAGGCTTCCCAAGAAGACAAGGGGGAAAAATGAAGTCAATGCTTTCATTATATAGTTTGGTTAATTCTTTTAAGTCCTTGTAGGAACTACTATTCCCAGTCATTGAATCTGCTAACCGACTAAAACTTTTGGCCTCGTGGAAAGACTTCTATAGATCAACAGCCTTTTTGATCCTCAGCTGTTATTTAATTATAAGGTAATTGTTTTGTTTTAAAATCAGTGTATATCTGTTTATGTTTATCGTTTCCAATTGGCTGCTTTCCACAAATGTATCAAGTGACACCCTCATTCAATGAAACTTTATGCCGATCAATTAATTTCCAATGTGGATTACAAATATGTTATTTCCTGTATTCAGCAATTAATAATATATTCGATCGTCAACTCTACTGCATTCTGACTTACACATGTTTTTCTTTCTTTAGTTTTGAACACTTTAAAAGGCTTCTGTGTCTGTTTTTTCCTCTGCTTTTGTCCCATCAATGTTGTAGATTCATGTGACCACTTGGTCTCAATCCTTAAGCTGGCGTTTAAAGCCCAACAATATAGTTATTGATCTCTTAGCATTTTCCCCACATGTTTACGGGAAAAGCTCGAGTCACCACTATTTGGTTTTGAAATTCATTATTAGCAAATTTTTGAGAATTAATTGCAAATGCCAAAGACAAAATAGTCAAAGAGACTTCCAAAAACAAAAATAAAAGGATATAAATAAATGTGGAAGGATATCAATTAAGGACCAAAGAATAGTTTTTATATTCATTGACATATATTGCACCCCCTTCTCTTCAATGCTTGGCATCCTGGTGAAGGCTCGAGCACATCGAATCTCCTTGGTCCTGTCTTTATCCATGTGGTTCCCTGTTAGTAACCCATCTCCAGCAAAAACCACCAGGTTTTGACACCATTTTGGATACAGTTGTCAATCTCCGTATTTGAACAAGAATTGATGTCATTAAATCTCAAATCTACATTTAAGAAGGAAAGTAATAAGTTGCATTACTTTAGTTTTATTGAACAGATTGACTGTCACCTGGATCACAGTGACAACTGTTAAATAATATTTGTGTTAAAGTTGGCTTCCGTGGATTGGATGAATAAAGAATTTAGTTAACATTGATGTACAGGGGGTGGATCCAGTACTTATTGCCGTCCATTTTTCTGTTCATTGCAATTATTATGCTCTGGCGTAGACATTTTAGAAAGGGAGGAGCATTAGAAGCCTTTACAGTAACACCTCCCCCAAATCGAAATGCAGTAGAACAGCTGCTGACATTGCAAGAAGCCATTACGCAGTTTGAGTCACTGATTCAAGCTGGAAATATTGTTCTACTAAAAGTAAGAGCTCTTCTACTTGCTATATTACCGCAGGTGAGTATTCTAGTCATAATCTACTTGGAAGAAAATTTTAAATGTTGGAATGTAGTTAGGCCAAAATATCTTCTTTTAATATATATGTATGCAATAACGTGTGGGGTGCAATGATGAAATTTGTGCTATGTTTTATTAATCAACTTTAAATGTGGTCAACCTGGGATGAACCATAAATCAAAAGCATTTGTCATGTATTGAATTTTTTTCAACCGAAAACTATCAAGCCTTATCTCATTCGGTAAGGTCAACAACGAGGATCAATAGACATCATAAATCTTTAACATGAAATAATTTCAAGCATCATTTACATCTAAGTTAATCTTAAGTTTGACTTAAGTTCTTAGGCTTACTAGACCTCTAACTATTGAACAATGCAAGTAAATGCTGAAAAACAAACAAACTCAACAGCACAAAAAATGGTCTACAATCCCCCAAGTTGCTTTGGAGATGTGCTATTCTTCTGTACAAAGTCTGAAATCACAATCTAACAAAATAAAGAACTTTGGCACAGTTTTCTTTCTACTTTACTATTGTCAACACCTTAGCTAATCAGTAAAAGCTCCTGCAACCCCAATAGCCATTCATCGCGATAAATTCCCTAAATCATTTTTCAAGTATAGGTCTGCATCACAATTAGTCTGTTAGTGAATGGAAAATGATCTCAAAATGCTTACTCGTCCCCTGCATCTTAAAACAAGAAGAATGATGGGAGAATTTTAAAAATAAATAAATAAATAACTCCATAACAGTGAATTGAACAATACATTTAAAACTAAATCATGTTTGGAGGCAAAAGCTCTATATAAAACAATTTTACTTAGATTAATAACCTGTTAGGATCTGCGTTTAGAGGTGGATTTTCACATCCCAAAGCATTTCTATTGTGAAAACAAAGAAGCTACCTTTTGTAGCTTTCACATTAACATGACTTTGCAATGCGGTTTTGGAAAACGTGATGCCGTACCAAAGAGATACTAAGAATACTCAAACATGTCAGATCAAGTTCATATTTCTAAAATCACTATTATCTAGGAAAAGTGAATCGAAGCGTGCACTATTCAGTGTCATCCTTTGTAGTATTGCTAATTTGCTATTCTATAAAGTATTTGCTAATTAAAATATATTGTAAATTGCACGAGTTATAAACCAAATTGATTCAGTCAGATTGTTGGAAGGCAAGTCTTCTCTAGAATCTTTTCTGAAGTTTTACATCTATCCTGCAGGCTACAGAGAAGGTTGCTCTATTTCTAGTTTTTCTAGCTGCAGTATTTGCTTTTATTCCTCCAAAATACATATTTTTGGTGATATTCATTGAGTGTTACACAAGGGAGATGCCATATAGGAAAGAAAGTAGCAAAAGATGGATAAGGCGGATTAGAGAATGGTGGATCAGAATACCTGCTGCTCCCGTTGAACTCGTTAAGCCTGATGAGAGCAAGAAAAGAAAATGATATTGGGTTCTTTGATACTGGCAAAGGTTGACAATATTTCTGGGGGTAACTGTCATATATTAACCAGATATTCTGTTCTATTTGTTCTTTTGTCAATTCATTCATTTTGTATTTGGCATCAAGTTGTATATTCTCTCGCCTCGTGTTTCCCCTATTCAATATTAAACCCAGGGTAAATTGAAAATTCAAAGTCTTGATTGGGATCATGGTGTTACAAACCATTATTAACGTAGTCATCATAGTACAGAAACATGCCGGCTGATCTTAGCAAGATTAAAAGGATCTAGACAGAATAAACCTCTTTTCATTATCATTTTCCTGACATACGAAGTGATTTTAATGTCTAAGTTGGACGTGATTCACTTATGGAAACACCAACATTTTTTTATATGATAAATATTAAATATTAATGGTTTTATTTTGCCTTACAAGTTTTAACTTGGGAGAACAAGTCTCACATATTTAAATAATCAGTCCGTAAACAGTTATTAGTCTAACTTTTCTTTACTAAAAAAGACAGATCAAATCAGACTGTAAGCAGGTTAGATTATAAACTGCCGTCCAACGCTCTAGCCTATTTTAGTGTTAGTTGTAACCAAGCAACCTACTTATGTGGGTATATGTAGGTAAAATCTGCCATGGAGTTTATCAATGCGTGTGAAATATCCATATAGCAATATCCACATTGGTACCAATTATTTCCAACAAGGCGGATAGCACGTAACTACTTTGGGTACTTACGAATATCTTTTATCGTTTCTATTTTCAGCCTCTTCCCCTCTCACCTTACAAGCACAAAAACCCTCCATTGCATCTCAAACAATTTCGACTAAAGAATCTAATACTGCTAATTATTGTTTTTTAAATGATGGGATAATATGGAGTGATATGAAATGTGATTTATTGTTTGAGTTTTTTAAAAATGAATGGAAAGAAATAATATTGTGGAATCCATTCCATCATATTTTGCTTCTTCTTCAATTATTTGGGGTATATAAAATGGAATCCAACTCATTATTTATTTTTTTAAACTACCAAATTACACCACCTAATTTTTACAAAAAATATGCTAACTCTCGTTTGAACGTCAGCTTGTATTCCCACAAGAATTTAACAATAGGCTCTATCGAGTTTCAAAAACTACCAAGTTAAAATCCAGATGCATTCATTTTACAATAAAATCACTTCACCTTTATTTTTGTCAAAAAAAGACAATTTGAATTTCAATCTCCATAAAAACAATTTGTATAACATATTAAAATCCAAATTTCAATCTCAGGTATAAACCTTACACATTGTCTTGGGTCTTTGTTTCATCACAAGATGGTTAAAAATAGAATGATTCCGGGTTTCAAAGTTCAAGGAAAACCCGCTTCTAGCATTATTGTCACTCTAGTAGAGGTCTCGTTGAAGTTAGTGGTTGCAGTCTTGAATAGGACGAACAAATTGTATAGGGAAGCTTAAGTTAAATATTTGTTTTCTATAAAAATACATGTATAACATCATTTTTTTTTAACCACAAGGGACATGTCCTCTGATAACATTCCTTCAGCATTTGCATATTTCTCTATTGTACAAAAGAATTGAAAAGAGAAAAGAGTTGATTATTTACAAAAGAAAAAAGCTGCCAGAAATTCCTTCAATTTGCAAAAAACACTTTTGAGATCCAACTTGCACAGACTCTGAAATCACCAGTGATGCATAATCTCATACATTGTCAGGCCAGAACTCTCTAAAGAAAGCGCGCTCAAATTCCTTCTCCTGCATCTTCTTTTCTAACTCCTGCATCTTTCGCACACGTTTAGAAAGTGCTTTGGTTTTCTTTTTAGACAAATGTTCCTGAAATCAATTCAAGTCAAATTCAATGAACAACAGGAAACCATATACAGATTTTGCTACTCTACCATAGTCACTTCTTATTTTCTTCTACTTGTTGCTTCATCTCTCATAATTTCTATTTTTGTAGATTTTACCATTTCTTTGAAGTTTGAATAGAAGACGTAAAAACTGAAGAAATATGATCCTTCAAGACTTAAGAAATATGATCCTTCAGTAAAACCTAGCCGCATATAAATTCTCAAAATATATATCGTCAGAATGGCGACTGTTACTATAAGTTGACCCTGTATCTATATTATTTTATAATAAAATGCTATGCTTACTTTCAGATACGAATGCCGACTATTTTGATGCAGACGTATCCAATTACAAATAACTAGGCCTATTTCCACTATGTAGAGTCGACTACATCAGTCAATTGACGCCATAAAGTTATGCCATGTATTTGACCTAAAGATCTATAATTTTCTTTGGCCTAAGGAGTTTTGTGACACAAAAGTACTGCTCAAGCTGAAGGGAAAGTTTTTAACGGATAGCGGTAAGACCTGCAATGTTGTACGAGACACAATGTTGGATGGTTATGAATCAACACGAGAATAAAGTGTAGCCTGTTGTATTAGATGTGTGGTAAGACTAGACAAGATAAGATTATAAATGACAATATTAGAGAGAGTGTTGGAGTAACCCCCATAATACCAAGGATGGTGGAAAATGTGGTAAGACTAAGATAAGATTATAAATGACAATATTAGAGAGTGTTGGAGTAGCCCCAATAATAACAAGGATGATGAAAAATAGACTTAGGTGGTTTGGGCACGTAGAGAGAAGGCCTGCAGATTCATCACTCATTCAACATAACACTCAGATCTTTATGATTCTAACTTTACTTGTTGGTTTTACACTCAGATCTTTATGATTCTAACTTTACTTGTTGGTTTTTTGATCGCCCAATGTTCATTTCCCCACAACATTACAAATCTTATGAATGAGAGGTATTTTTCTATCACATATCATAGCCAAAATACTCCTTTAAATTCCCTTTTCAATTATATGATTGAGATCTCTCTTCATTCCCCCCAACACTATAGGTGTTTAAAAAAACCGGTTACCTATAACCACACGAGTATCCGACCATTCCATATTAATAAGCCCAAACCATCATGTGAGAAAACTGAATTCCAACCATTCAAGCTGGCAAATAAAAAACCGGGTATCCATCTTACAAAAGTGGTTTAGACCGGTTCATTTGTTCTCCTAATTCCTCGTCTCAACATTCACTAATAATCTTTTAGATCTGCGACCTCCGTCTCATCTCCTCTCCTCTGCCAACAATGTTACCTATGGTTGTAAAGTTGTGCAGATTTAAAATCATTTCAAGAAAAATCAGTTTTTTATCAATTTACATGTGAACCAGTTTTTATTATAAACCGGTTCCGAACCAATTCACAATTTTAAAAATGGTTTGATTTATCAAATTATAACCATAAAGTGGATTGGATTATGTGGTTTGGTTATCCATGATTCATGAACACCTCTACCCATCACTTTGTATGACAACCCCAAGGTACTTCAAGGGTGAGAAGTGCAATATTGTATGTTCTCAGATTTTCGGATTTTCACATTCTATGTTAGGATTTGTTTGTCATTTACTGAGCTTGCATTGAATATACTCTATTTTACTTTTACTCAATGTTGTTAAATAGAAGCTACAGCACTAAGCCGCTATAGTATAGCAGAATTAGGACAAATAAACTGATTTTGTTTTGCAACACTATTTGATACAAAATATTTGCTTAAATTTAAACAATTTTGACCCTTTAGAGCCTTCCTTAAAACCTCTCTAAGTACTCATGTTGCGCCTTTTCCAATTTATTTATTTAAAATAATGTACATTTAATTCCTCCTATACTTCCATCAATCTTCTTACCAGTATATGGTCATTCTCCTAATCATAAACCAAACTGGATGTGAGTTTCTCATCTTATTTTTTATGCACACTCTCTCCCTCGTAGATTTATAGTATCAGTCAAGTTAATCTCCCTATAATTTTTATAATTCTATATGTTACCTTTGTTCTTGTTCTTAGAGATATAATTTGAAGTATTTCCAGAGTTATCAATCTCAGGTATCGGGATCCCAAAAATAAGATAGTGGGATAGCGGATAAAGGGATAACTGCTATTTGACTATTTTTTGCACTAATTATATGAATCATAACTATATAACATATATAACCAACCTAAATGAATAGATGGTGAGAAAAGAAGAAAAGGAGAAGAACAAATGATGGTGAGAAAAGAAGAAAAGGAGAAGAACGGAGGAATAAATAACCAACCTAAACGGAGGGGGCTTTACAAACGGTGGCGGGGCTGGGAGGAGAGGATTTGAACACAGCAGTGGTGGAAGCAAACGAGCAAAGAATGAGAACGATGAGAACGTAGAGCTCGAACAAGAGAAGAGAGAGAACGATGAGGGTTTTGAGGTTAGGGCTACGGTACACCGTGCGAAATGACACAAAAGGGCCTTGAGAGTTATTTTTTTAAGTGTGAATAGGGAATTTTGGCATCAAAACGGATAGCAGGTTTTAACCCGCTCCAAGCTAGGAAGTGCGTCACTCCTGCGACCTGCGAAATCGCCTGATATTCTTTTTCATAGCAGCTGGCCTCCGCAGTGCGTAACTCTCCTGGCCTACAAACAATTCCTAATTACTAAATTCTTTACGGCAACTTTGTTCTTAGTGATAGATCATATATCAAAGTATCTTTCCGTCATTACAATTCATTCGACTAAAAATGATTCCTAATTACTAAATTATACGTCAACTTTGTTCTTAGAGTTAGATATCAAATAATCAAAGTATTTCTTCATCGTTAATTACTTATACAATTCCTAATTACAAAATACTAGATCAAACCCCAACCCCCACGAAATTTGATGAAATAAAACAAGGAACTTGAAAAACAATCTATCTCAATAAGATAACCTGGGAAACTAATACTACCTAAAATAAGTTAACCTTTGTCAACCGTTGTAAATTTCCAATTCCGGGTGACAAAATCAGCACTATTTTGCATAGTTATCCTTCTACTAATGTAAATTGTTTATAACGACCACCAAAGCCCTTGGCAACAAAGCAAACCTCAAGAGCAAAAAAAATTACCTGCTTATTGTCTCCTTTAGAGGAATCAGCACAATTATCAGGTTTCACTATCCTTTTCTTCACCTTATCTGCTCCCAAACCGCGCTTATTATTCTTCATGTGAGTTTCCACGGGTTCTAATCTACCCTGTTACAAAAATAAATTTATTTATTATCAGAATCATTGAAAGGAAGTACCTAAATCCATTTCTCATGATCAAGATAGACTAAATTATGGATACAGAAGAAATACTGAAACATGAGTTTAATAGTAAAATTTAACCCAAGGTTCCTAAATATTAAAATCACTGGTCAAACTAGTCCTTGAATGTGAAATTAAATTAGTCCAGAGATTCACATGCCTAAGTAAAAACTAATTTGACTAACAAAATACAAACATAAAGACCTAAAGGCTTTGTTTAGATTATGGAATCAGATGGAGTAGAGTGGAACGCGATGGTGTAATGATATTCCAATGTTTGGATCATTTAAAATTGGATGGGGTGGAGCGGAATGGAGTGGTATGGATTCCATTCCATCACTTACCACCATAATCCTTCCCCTCCGATTTGGGCGAAATGAACAACTTGCCTTGTTCCATCATAAAATTTTCAAACAATGAAATGGAATCTTCGTCTCGCTCCACTCCATTCTGCTCCGTTCATTTCATACTTCCCCCATTCCCGGCAATTCTGATTGAACGTGTGTCTGGTGTCAAACACATCGGTGGCTAAAACTGACTCATATGAATACATCCAAGTATGTCATTTTCTTAAATTATTACCGATGTCAACATATCTCTAAGTACTTCCTAGTCAAGAAGCTTATTATCTTCACAAATTTTAGTACTAATTCCATCATTCCTAGAAGAATGAATAAGAGAGAAAGAAAGAAACAAAACCTGCTCAGAAATCCCAAGACCAGTCCCTTCTTTCCAACCCTGCTTCTTCAATAGCTGCAGAGAAGAGAACAGTAACACCATCCCAAATTACAGTTACAATTACAACAACGACGAGAAAAACAATGATAAAAATCACAGTACATAATGAAGAAGGGGATAAAAAGAAAGAACCTGAAACCCTAAATTGGAAGAGTTGATTATTGTTGATGAACTTAACGTCTCTTCCATGGCTTTACACACAATTAATCTACATAAACAAATAATTATAATAAAATTCTTATGACAAATTAATCGATGAATTCCTAAAGCCGTCGAGATATTGAAGAAATCGCTAAACAGAAACGAAACTAATTAAATACGAAGTCGAAACACAGGAGTGACTACAACCTACCTCGAATTGATGAGAGTTTATCGTGTTTTCTTTTTTCCTTTTTCCAACTCTCTCTATTCTCTTCTCCCTCCCATGATCGCTGTCTTTTTTTTTTTAAATAACAATTAATCTCATATATAAAAAGAAATAATAAAATCCATTTTTATTCCTAGTATTTGATATTTTTTAATTTTTAGTTTTTATTTGGTTCCTGTGCTTTAGTGTTTTTTTTGGAATTTTTATAGTGTTTCTGTTCTTCCAGTTTTACAAATGTAGCACCGATGATTAGAAAAGAAATTATTTAGATTTATTTATTAATATATTTTATAGATGAATTGTAATTAATTATTTTACTTTTTTAATTAATTATTAATTAATACAAATGTTTAACAAAATTTTGTTTGGGTCTGAAGTCCAATACGTTCAGAAAATTTTTATCTCATACTCCTACAAAATAAAATTTTGAATGAAAGTACTCTTGTATAAATATCAATAATTTTAATTTTTTCACTTTTTTTCTCATATCATCTCAGCAACAACGGTTAAAAGTTTGAAAGCAAATTTTACTCTTGGAAAACTCAAGCAAAAGACTTTTGGTTCACACTTTTCTACACTGGATAACTAACAAGTGAGTTTTCTAGTTTGTTTTTTTCAATTATTTCGCACCGGATAACTAACAAGTGAGTTTTCTAGTTTTTTTTTCAATTATTTCGCACCGGATAACTTCTCGTCATGTTATCCGGTTTATATATTTTCTTCACCGGATAACTTGGTGTCATGTTATCCGGTTTACATGATTTTCACACCAGATAATTTGGTGTTATGTTATCCGGTTAACATGATTTTCACACCGGATAACTTGGTGCAATGTTATCCGGATCTTTGAAGTCTTCACTGGAAATCTTCATCAGTAGCTTTCCAGTTTGTTCTTGATAAAAAAAATTTTGTGGCTCGCTTTAGAGGATATATGTTGTTACTATGCTGCATTATTCTTACCGATAAGACCTTTACTCTTTTAGATGCAAAGTATTTACCACTATTTGAGGACTTGTCTAGTTGTGGTAGATACTGTTGGGGGCAGCCACACTAGTCACATTTTACAGATATCTCGAAGATGTCCTCTTTTACAATTGTAGACAGCTTGGGGGATATGCCTCTCTACTACATGTACAAATATTTTATTTTAATTTCATTTAGACATGTATTAGCATATTTATAATACTTTTAACTGGTAATATTCATGTTGTGTAACAGTGTTGGATTCATGAGTATTTTCCAACTGTTGGCAAAAGAGGATTTTCGAAGATTGTTGGTATTGGTATTCCACTTCCTAGGGCGATGAAGTGGACGTACAAGCAAGGGACGCAGAAGGTTGATGAGTTGAGGGCTGTGTTGGATGGATTGACACATGCGGATGTCATTTGGCACCCTTTTCAGGATCACATACAACATCGACTATTTCATGATATTTGCTTATGCAAGGGTGGCCTGAAATGGTATGATACAGTTGTTCTTTATTTACCTGACAGATGTTTGCGTCAGTTTGGATACAGGCAGTACATATCATCTCCGCCTCCTGATCTTGACACACTTGATGTGGATTTTGAGTGAGTTACATACGATACGAGCGTCATAGAGGTGATTCGTTCGGCCGAGTTTGCTGATACTCCATTTGATACGGTGGCCAATTACTTGGATTAGAACTATAGAGTGTCACATCCTCTGTTGGTACCACGACCTCGGGGGCGGCCAGAGAGGTTAGAGAGGTCCATGTTCTTGCGTTTGATGTTGGACCGTCAGATCTGAGGTTGTTACATATTTCACATTAGCTTCGCCGTTATCTGCATCGTCACGAGGCGGAAGAGGATGGCGATGATTTTGCTGAGGTCTTTCAAGCACTGTGTATACCTGAGGATGGATTGGTACCTTGGGGTGGATCGGGAACTTATGTTAGTGATGACGATGATGCTTGATGTATTATTTTATATTCAGACTTATGTAGTATTATTCAGACTTATATCATATTAGGTAGCCTTATGTACAACTTTATTATGATTTATATTGATGTAGTATTATTCAGTCTTATATTATGGTCGATGTTGTATATAAAACAAGTCAATACAAACCAAAAAATAACATGAAATCAATCGTCAACACAAACCAAAAAATAACATGAAGTCAATCGTCAATCCAAAATATAAAAGATAAAATTACAATAATAAAATAACATGTTTTGGGACCACAAATGTAAGTTGTTACCAATGTTGTAACCGTCCAGCAAATCCTATTAAGCAAGATGTTGCCAATGTTGTAACTGTCCAGCAAATCCTATTATCCAAGATGTTGCATCTGTTGTGCGATGCTTCTTCCAATCTACTGTGATCAGTGGCAAGGGAAATCCTTCATTCATGTTTACTTGTTAAAAAAATTAATAAGTAAGACATAAATCATAGATAAGTATTTAATATAAAAAACTATAATATTTACCAAAACCCAATGATTTGAGTTTACAAAACCAATGCAGTAAATAGACACATTAGGATGATATAAAGTCGTCGTATGTAAGTAACTCAAACTAAGAGCACTTAATGAGACAAGAATGACGTTATGCCGATTTTCTATCACATAACCCATTTCTGGTAGTCTCATCCATTTATCTACTGGATGGGAACCTAAAGATGATATCAACAAGGATTCTCTCACTTTTGTTAAGTAACTTCCAAATAACTTCTCATAGAGACTATTTTGGGAACCTTTGATTTCATTATCCAAATCACGACGAACCATTGACCAACCATCCTCACCATACCAATGCAACGATGTAATAGCTCTAAACCCACAATTTCCATCATCCTTAACATTAACAATGTCATCAATAAATGGTCTGATATGTTATGAAATTGTTCAATGTACCTATAAGATGGTTTCTTCTTTGATGTTTGGGATAACTGTGAACATGGTCTCTTTGAAGATTTTTGAGAACTATTGTGTGCTTGATCAACATACTCATGATATGAAGGATCACAATAAACATCATATCCCACATATTTCTTCCCCTTTCTCTTCATTCCTCCTTTGGTCTTTATTTTTTAGGCGGCGGTACCATCTTTGTTGTAGTGGGGTAAGAAATTTCACACACCCTACTTTTTAGTGCTCTCTTTCCTTCCACGTCTAATGACCTGAACCTTTTCCACCTTTTCCATAATGCATCAATTGCATTGGTCATGTCCACCTCTACTCCATCCTCTGTATCTACCTTTTGTTCACCTTCCATGTTGAGCTTCCTCCAATGTATATGAATAGCATCAATAGGTATTGATTCACCACCCAATGTGTATCTTCCTAACTCACAAGCTCAAGGTAACTTGTATACTTATCTATGACTACACCCACACATTTAGGTGTTTGTACAACCATGTCAACTCCGTGTCACTCTTCAACAATGTGTCTCAAAGCTGCTATATATACTGATTCACGTAAATCCGCATAATATGGAATAGTGTGTGCATGCTCAACTTCATAAAAACTCTTCTGAAATGAAGCTCTAATATTGCTTAATTGCACTTTGATGTTCCCATTCATAGCCTCCGAACATTTGCACATATCACATAAATTGTTCTTTAGCATCTGCTTCAGTTTCCAATGCGCAGACTCAGTCCTAACAAAAAAAAGGTTCAGTATAATGAGTGATCTGACCTGATCAGAAGAGGATCACGGGCTGGCCACACGCTGTTAGACTGCTACCTGTTCACCGGTGATAAGGAGGAGAAGGGGGTGTACCTGCAAAACACTCTGATGCCAAAGTAAGGAGTTGGGTAGAGTGGGAGCAAAGTACAAAAAATGGGTAAGAAGTGAATTACCTGACCCTCTTGTGGAAGAGGGTATTTATAGAGAGACCTCAGCGTTGTGCCAACGGTCATTTGAGGTGGGCTGGATGACCAGACCCAACCCTAATGACTGCTAGGGCTTACGTGGCGTAGTGAAGACCAGAACGTGGTATTCGCCCTAGTCCAACTGTCCTGTGATCTCCGGAAAATGGGTTTGACCTGCTCTTTCAGAGGTGGGCGGTTGGGAGATGACGTGTCCCCGCAGGGGAGCACGTGGAGAGCGTGCGCATGGCACGTTGTTCTCCCCGCGGAGGGGAGCCCGGGAGATTCCCTGGGGGTCTTGCTCGATGGCATGGGAATACCGCCCGCGGAGGGCGGTGCTTGGTTGCTCGGGCGATTCACTTGCCCGGCGTGGTTTGGACGATTCTCCCCCACGGGGAGGTCATTGTAACAAGTCGGGGATCTTGTGCCCGACGCGATAGCTCGAACCGGGCAAGGCCTGGTGGAGCATTATTGGGCTGGGCCAGCATAACTCAGCCCGGGGGCCAGTCCAGAACAGGAGCCCCCCAAGTCGTTGCTCCGGGGATGGGAGTGAGGACTTGATGACGTCGTTCCGGGGAAGTGTACCGGTCCGGGCAAAGACTCCCCAGTGCGAAGACGCGCGTTTATTTTCGTTGATCGGCGGGGCTCGAAGGCGGGTATTGGCGGGGAGAGGTGGAGAGACGCGTCTGTCTGCTTCCGCTACGTGTCGCATTCTGGGTGGCTGCTAGGGAGGCTACCCTAGGATACTCAAGTGTCTAGCGACGCTTCGAGTCCCGTACAGGGGTATAAATGAGTAGGCCCCTGCTCATTTCTCACTTTTCGCCCTCTGATTCTCAAATTTCCAGCCTGTTATTCCGATATCTCTGTCGTTGCCGCCACCGCGTTCTCCATCACCGATTTTACCATAGTAAGTTTTCCCTTTCTTTTTCTCTTGCTTTTTTTTGTTTGTCTCTTGAGCATGGCCGGGGCCGGTTGAATGCCCCGAGGAG